TTCTCTTTCGTTCTATATCATCCTGTCTGTTCTAATCCATTCTATTCTTACTCATTCCATTCTAAATTTTTATAGGAAAGATTGAATGACTACATGAATGTAAATAGTGCTGAATGATATACATGATGGATGTGATCTATCTGATTTAATATCACTCTAACCTTGTTCCACTTTATCAAAGTCCCCAGCAGTAGCGCCGAACAAGCTCAGTGCATTACATCCATCCCTCCATGATGTTTGGAAATCAGTAGCTTCAACCCTTGGAATTGGAGAGTGACACAACTTGTCTCGCATTTCTTTTAACGTTTTAAGGGCTGCTACCAGATTAGCTGCTACAACAAATGCTGGCCGTGAATGAAGCAGAGTTTTGACCAAAAGAGACATGTCCCATTGTAATGTATCACCAGATCTCACTGCATTTTTTTCATATGGGAGAGGCTTAAACATCTGCAGCAAGTCAGCTCCATTCTGAGCACAGTCACTCCAAGGTTTGTATTTTACTGCAGCATTCCACTGTCTTTTGAAGAAACAACGCAGACATGGATTCCCTACTCTTAACAGAAGTAAGGCCAGGCAACAGTAGTTCCTGTTTAAGATACACCCACTTAATTAGTATTGATTACAGTCTGGTAATATCACATCTAGGGCATTGTTATCTCATATATGTTCATTGTATCACAGTACCTTAAGCACAAGAGGAAAAGCGCCACAAGAGGAAAAGCGTATTTCTTATTTCTTAGTTAAAACCTTCAACTAACTAATGAATTTGGGCTATGTTCCAGTGCAGTTTCCGGTTACACAAGAATATCCCCCAGCAAGGAGGTAACCATGGTAACTCAACACTGGAAGCTGTGACACTGTTAAAACAGTGGAGATAATACTTACCTAAGGCCTAGGGCAAACGTCGAACTTTTCATGCACCGAACTCATTAAAAACAATGGATATCAGGTGATAATGAGGCGGCATTCTTTGATGTAATTAGGTAGTTCGGTGCATGGAAAGTTCGACGTTTGCCCTAGGCCTAAGATGACCAAACTTACCATATAGAGGAGGGAGGGAGGGGCAACTTGAACGATGGCAAGCATGCAAAAATGGCATACGAACTACTAGTGAACACACCCGGAGTGAGGGCGCATGCGTAGCGTGGATGGTCCGCTGGCCAACAGTGCTTAGGCTAGCGGGTTTAGTTGTGGTTTTAACTTTGCCTAAATTACATTTAGCCCCATCAAGCAATTATAATTATTGGACAATATCATTTTAAAATGTTTTCCACAAAGTAGAAATAGTTAAGCTAAACCATACAATATCTTACCTTTCTTGATTGTCCATGTTTATTCAATGGACTATTGAAGTGTTCAACATGGATAGATATAGTAGATAAACCATACAATATCTTACCTTTCTTCTTTGTCCATGTTTATTCAATGGACTATTGAAGTGTTCAACATGGATAGATATAGTAGATAAACCATACAATATCTTACCTTTCTTCTTCGTCCATGTTTATTTAATGGACTATTGAAGTGTTCAACATGGATACATTGGATAAGATGTTGCAAATGACCTCCGATTTCTCTTTTCCTAATTTAACTAGTTTACTTGTTTTCTTCAGTGAACATTCTAAAGCAGAACAGAAATTGGACTTGAGACTTCAGTTATAAGCAAAAGAATAAAACATTCGGAAAAAAAGTGTAATTCTTTGACCTGTTTTACACATCACTGCACAGCTTGGCCCGGTTGATTAAAGCTGGGTTAGCGCTAATCCAGGATTAACTCTATAGGTCTTATTAAGAGTTAACCCAGGATAAGCACTAATCGGGCTTTGAACAACTGGCCCCTGTACAGCAAAACGAACTGACTGGAAGTTAATACTATCTTTAACTTAGTGTTAGCTAGTCTCCCTCGCAGCCATTTTTAGTGTCGTCACGCAACGCTCCCTCCCCCCACTAGTGGGGAGGGAGCG